GTATTTGGGCATAAGCTTTCATGGGCTAAAACCCACTTCATCAGATGCATGGAGTGAAAAATACAGTAAGCAGTATATATATTACAGTGCATGAAAAGATGGGAGTTGCCTGATTCATTTGCTGCAAATATTTGGCTTTGGCTGTGGATTGGTTCTTGATTGATTCTTCTTCTGCCCTTGTTTTCTATTGTGGGGATTGGTTGCTTATATGTTAAGAAACATTTATGTAAAGATCTCACATCAGAATAAGTTTCCCCAACACTGCCTAGAGCAATGGGAAATTAGCTAGGTATCTTCACCTTCCTCTGAAGCATCAACTTCTGCCCCTTGCTAGGAAGGGACGCCAGACTTGACAGACAAATGGCCTGACTAAGAATGGCAAATTCTACAATGTGTGTGTTTAGCTAATGTCCTGCCTATATTTACCCCGGCCAGAAGTTCCTCTCACCAAACCATTTTATCTTACCGCTGATACCACAATGGATGTATATTCTGCCTCATCTTCTCCCTAAGAGATACAGATCAAGAAAAGTTGGTGTATCCCTTCCGCACGCCATCTAGTCGGTGCTGGAGAGAGATGCTAGTCTCAAAAGACCAGGAAAGAAAAAGAAAAAGGTGGAGAAGAGGGAAGAAGTGAAATATTCAAAGACGGATGGTCTTTAAAATCCTGTTTATTGAGGATTTAATTAAAAAATATATATTTTTAAAAAATCCAGGTTTGTTCCCATGGTAATTTACTGAAAAAGGGAAGGAGTTAGGAGCAGGGAAAGGAGGCAATGGCTAGAAGGGATGCCAGACGCAGGAAAAGACTCAAAATTGGGTCCCATACTGCAGAGTTGTCAAGTGCCTCCTGTGAGGTGCTGAATCTACTCAAGGTTGCAACTTCCCAGCAGCTTGCAGAAGGCATGCAGTGCCTCGGAGCAGCGGGGCTGGCGATGTTTGGTTAGAATTTGAAAACACTTTTACATGGTTATAAATGATTTTCAAAGGAAAAAAAATGTTTTGGATTGGGTGTGATTGTGCTCAGTGGCTCACAGCTGAGAATACCAGATTCAGGCCAAACTGCTGAGAAATAGGACAGACTCACCCCCAAACTGGTGGTTATTCTACCATTAGATATACCAAGCCAGTAACAAAAGTAAGCTTCTGTCTCTCCATGTTGGTTAACAAGAAGTCAAAAATGCAGTCTCCTTAGGCTTCCCCGCTCTTATTTCACCATCCAGACACTAGACTTTATGATGTGTGGTTACTGAATACCAGTTTAATCAAGCAAAGGGCTCTTCTGATCTCAAGAAATCAGCCACATAGCCACATCAATGTATGGGCATGGCTACACTTGCAGATGTAGAGCGCTGCAAGTTAAAACCGC